AGAGAGAGAGAGAGAGAGAAAGGGAGGGAGAGAGAGAATCTTAAGCGGGCTCTTTGCCCAGTGTGGAGCCCGACGTGGGGCTCGATCCCACGACTGTGAGATCATGACCTGAGCTGAAATCAAGAGTCGTACGCACAACCGACTGAGCCACCCGGGTGTCCTGTGTCTTAGCGGTTTTAAAAGGCAAACCACATCTCCCATAGCTTACTTTTGCCCATGACAAAATGCATATTCGAGTGGCAAAAACAAATTCTGATCAATCCTTACCCAGAAAGCTGTGTCACCTTTTCAGTTCATTTTAGCAAGTTCGAAACTTTGAAAAGAGGAATAAACCCAACGCTCCGCGCTGTTTAAAACCGTTAAAAATAACTGAATGCAAGTGAACATTTAGAACATTAGTTTGCTAATTGGTCGATTCTACTTATTTGCTAAGAATGCGAACAGGGAAGGAAAAAAAGTCTTCCACTTCAGAGTAAAAATGCAATGGTTTTCCCACAGAAGTTATTTTCACCAACGCAGAAAATAAAAGCATTTCCTCATTAAAACAAACGTAACTGGAAATTCCTCAGAGCTGGGCAGAGAGAGAAAGGCCTGGACGATACTACCAAGGGTTGGCAAAGATGGGGGCCAACATCAACTCGCATGCACCTGCTAGTAAGAAAGGAGATAATCCCTCTGGGGAGAGGTCCAGCAATACCTAGGAATGTGAAAAGTCTATATGCCCTCTGGCCTAAGAAATCCATTCCCAAATATCCTTTGCCCCTGTGCACAAGGAGCTAAATATAAATAATAAAGGAATATACATAACAAATGAATGTAAACAGAGGCGCCTGGGTGGCTCAGCTGGTTAAGCGCCTGACTCTTAATATCAGCTCAGAGTGTGATCCTGTGGTCGTGGGATTGAGCCCCAGCAGCGTGAAGCCTGCTTGGGATTCTCTCTCTCCCTCTCACTCTGCCCCTCCCCAACTCACGCGTGTGCGCTCTCTTGCTCGCTCTCAAAATATTTTACAGAATAGGGGCGCCTGGGTGGCGCAGTCGGTTAAGCGTCCGACTTCAGCCAGGTCACGATCTCGCGGTCCGTGAGTTCGAGCCCCGCGTTGGGCTCTGGGCTGATAGCTTAGAGCCTGGAGCCTGTTTCCGATTCTGTGTCTCCCTCTCTCTCTGCCCCTCGCCCATTCATGCTCTGTCTCTCTCTGTCCCAAAAATAAATAAACGTTGAAAAAAAAATATTTTACAGAATAAACAAATGTAAGTATTTATTGTAGCAGATGGCGTATCATATAACGAACATTCATCCGCGGCCCTGAATTTAAAGAAAAATTTCAGATCACAATGAAGCCCTCTCTCACGCCCCTGCCTCTCCATCCAGAGATAACCATTATCCCGAATTTGCTGCTTCAGCTTTAACATTTTGCCAGGATTGTATACAGCCAGGGCAACGGCTGTTTGCGAAAGCATGATGCACTGGTGAACAGAAGAAGATATCTGCAAATCTCCTCCTTGATGAGGGGTTAATGTCCAAAAATGTACGAAGAACTCATACAACTCAAGAGCGCAAAGACAAATGATACAGTGGGGAAAAAATGGGCAGGGGATCTCAACAGGTATTTTTTTTTTTAACATTTTATTTTTTGAGAAAGCACGAGCACGCACACACAGGCACGAACGAGTGGGGGAAGGACAGAGAGGAGAGGGCTGTCATCACAGAGCCTAAAATGTGGGGCTCGAACTCACCAACCGGGGGATCGCGACCTGAGCCGGAGTCAGACACTTGACCGACTGAGCTACCCAGATGCCCCTGAACAGGTATCATCCTAAAGGAGACACACAGATCGCCAACAGACCCAAGAAGGGATGCTCAACATCACTCATCATCAGGGAAATGCAAACCAGAAACACGAGATATCACCCCACACCTGCTGGAACAGCTATGATCAAAAAGACAAGAAATAACAAGTGCTGGTGACAACGTGGAGAAAAGGGACCCCTCCCGCACTGCTGGTGGGAAGGTTCCTCAAAAAAATTAAACCCAGAACTACCACACAATCAGACAGTTCTTCCGGGTTTTTATCTGAAAAAGGCACAGCTCACAAAGATACATGCACCTCTATGTTCACGGCAGCATTATTGACAATAGCCTCTAAGACATGATAAAAACCAAAGTGTCCACCAATGAGTCAATGGATAAAGGAAATGTGATACACACACACACACACACACACACACACACACACTTGAAATATTATTCATCCGTAAAAAAAGAATGGAATCTTGCCATTTGTGACAACATATAAGGACCTTGAGGAAACTATGCCAAGTGAAATAGGACAGAAAAAGAAATACCATATAATCTCACTTACATGTAGAATCTTAAAGATTCTTAAAGATTCTTAAAGCGCGAGCGAACATGAGCGGTGGAGGGGGAAAGAGAGGAGGAGACACAGAATCCAAAGCGGGCTCTGGGCTCTGAGCTGTCAACAAGACCCCGATGTGGGGCTCGAACCCACGAACCCTGAGATCATGACCTGAGCCGAGGTCGGACACTCAACCAACTGAGCCACCCAGGCGCCACCCCAGGCAAACGTCTTAGTGAATGACGAAGTGAGGACTGTACTATCCTCAGATCCAGGGCTCCCTGGTATCTCAACTCCTCGGGTCCCACCCCGCTTATAAGGCCCCTACTGGAAAGCCGGCAGCCAGGCTCAGACTGCCCTTGATGCTTTACATCAAATTAATAGCCGATCCCCCCAACCCCACTTCCTAGTTGCTAAAGGTGGGAAGATCAATTTTATCACATGCTCGGATGGACTGCTGGATAATCAATAAGCTGCCAGGGCCCCTGTAGAAACCACAAAGCTAAGCCAAACTGAGAAGCAGGCTCTAGCGTCACGAGTTGTTCATCCATCTATACTCTTTCCCTTCAGGGCTCCAGGACATCAGAGGCTCGCTGTTTCTTTTTAGGCTGCCCGGCAAAGCCCAGATGCTTCACAAGCCCGCGACAAAGGCAGGAAGAATGAGGTGCTTGGAAAGCACCATTCCTGTAGCCATAACAGCTAACGTGCCTAGCATTGCTTTAAGTACTTTATTTCTTCTTTATTTAAGAGACAGACGGAGAGCAAGCGAGCAGGGGATGGCAGAGGGAGAGAGAATCTTAAGCAGACTCGACACTCAGCACGGAGCCCAACACGGGGCTCGATCTCATGACCTCGGATCATGACCTGAGCCAAAAATCAAGAGTCGAGACGCTCAACCCACTGAGCCACCCTTGTTTTAAGGCACGCCCCTGTTTTAAGTACTTTAAAAGCATTAAATCCTTTTAATTCTCAGAGTGAATCTCTGAGTATGCGTTATCGTTACTATTTGATAGATGGGGATCCTCAGACACAGGGAGTTTAGGTCATTTGCCCAAGGTCACTCACTAGTGTAAGGGCTTAACCCAGGATGCACGCTCACTGCCTGAGCCTTTAAACGCTGGGCCCTGCACGTGTCGTGCGTCTTAGAGAAAAGCAAAGGACTTCCCCTTGTTTCCATCATCAAGGCTGAATGAATACCTTTCCTTCTGACAAACATAACAAGGCAAATGACCACCATGACCGTAAACAGATGGGATAAGGAGACCGTAAACTTAATAGCTGATATCACTACCTTTTCCTTACAAGCAGGACAGGTGTGAGAGAGTGCTATAGAACGCCTTTCCCAGTCATCAGTGGTTACGGGAAATTTCAGGACTGAGAGAGCCAGCTCATATTTTATATTATATATATATATATATATATATATACACACACACACATACATATACACGTGCATACACACATGTACATATATATACATATACACACATACATATACATTTTATATATATACATATATACATATACATTATATATATACACACATATATATGTATATATTTTAATGTTTAATTATTTCTGATAAAGAGAGAGACAGAACATGAGCAGGGTAAGGGGAGAGAGAGAGGGAGACACAGAACCCGAAGCAGGCTCCAGGCTGTGTGTGTCAGCACAGAGCCTGATGTGGGGCCGGAACCCACGAACCATGAGATCGTGACCTGAGCCGAAGTGGGAAGCTTAACCGACGAAGCCACCCAGGCGTCCCATATTTAATATAGTTTTTAAATGTTTATTTTTGAGACAGCGAGACAGGCAGACTGTGAGTGGGGGAGGGGCAGAGAGAGAGGGAAACACAGAATCCGAAGCAGGCTCCAGGCTCCGAGCTGTCGGCACAGAGCCCGATGCGGGGCTCGAACTCACGAACCTTGAGATCATGACCTGAGCCGAAGAAGGACACTTTGCCGACCGAGCCACCCGGGCGCCCCAGTACTTAATACTTTGATGTACATTAACAACAACCTACTTTTCTGTGTTTTTGAGGTTAATGGAACGTATGATCTAGAATTACTAAAACTATCATTCTTAGATATTCCTGCTTCATCAGGTTTGAGACTGGTCGGCTTCTGCCTTCATGTCATATTTATTTTAAGAATTCATTTCTCTTTTCTTGTTTTCTGTACTTTTATAGAGAAAAAAAAAGTCACTCAGTAGATGCTGTGAACCTCCCAGAGAAGATAACAACAAAATTGCCTCAGGTATAGTGGGATCTTAGGGCTCAGGAAAATAAGAGCTAAATCACTCAAAGAAACCCCAAATGTAAAAACAAAAAAGCCAAGTCAAGGAAACGTCAAACATTTTTTAAGCTAATTTTCCTCTCTTTCCAAACCTAACTTGGAAAACTGTCGTGCTCATGACTCTTAGCCATCAGCTCAGCTCAATATAATAATAAGATTGGTGTTACATATGTAACATCGGCATGTGTGTGCGTGCGTGTGTGTGTGTGTG